GTCCCTCTCTCTACCGCTCCATGTGTCCATCCCTCAGCCTCTCCATCTGTCCCTCCTTCCACCTCTCCCTCATTCCCTCTGCCTCTCTCTCTCCCTCTCTCCCACTCCCTCTCTCTAAGCATGCCCTCAGGTTAGGATTTAAAAAGTGTGAAATTCCCAGGTTTCTTATCATGGCTCCATGCTCAGATCACATCTTTGGTTCTTCAGCCCAGGCCTGCCAGGAAGAACAGGTTCCGCCAGACAGTTACACCTTCATTGCACTGCACTGATATTCTACCAAGCAGCCTGGGGGTAGCACCCATCCAGGCTTCCCTAGGGGCTTAATATGCAAACCCTTGGTTTGGTTGGGATAGAGATTCTCATATGGTGTGCCCATTGCTCCTGACAAAATCATCTTCACAAGAAGCTGGAAACCATCAGATCTGAATTTCTAACCCAGGTCTCACTTAATGATGCATCCAGCAAATTTTTCCCCCCCCATTCATTTTCAGAGAGAGAGCTTCACATCAGAAACACATATATAATTACATATTGTTTTTGTGATTAATCACTATGCTTTAATTATGTTCAATTTGTAACAATGAAATTGGGGGTCACCACAACATGAGGAACTGTATTAAAGGGTCGCAGCATTAGGAAGGTTGAGAACCACTGGGTTAGGGCCATCCAGAAAATGTTTTATGAGCTCTCAGTAGATGTGGGGCGCTGAGCTAGAAGCCTGGATGCATAGATCACACCAGAGTCCCCACTATGAGGGACCTGACCCTCCAAACAACAGAGATCATGTGGCTTGAGGACTTCCTCCACAGGAATGGCTGTGTCCAAACAGGGTGAGCAAAACTAACACCTGGATTGTAGCAATTTTCTGATGAACATCATTTAGGGTTATTTGTTCAGAAGCATTTTAAAAATTAGAACAATATAGATAAATTTAATAGAAATCACTTGTTAAGTAGAACACACTGGAAAGCAAATTGCGCTCTCACCTTGGAGAGAGGTCACCCAACCTCCTTATACCTTTCCTGCCTGCCCATCCTTACCTGTCTTCTGTATGGGAGAGGGTTAAGTTGAAATGCAGGCAGGTAGGGCAGGGTCCAGTGGAAAACAAAGGCAGGTGAAACATAGGCGGGGGCAGACATGGCAGTTTGAGCAGCAGAACCACAGGAACCAACCAAGCAGAAACCATGAACTGTTTGTGGACTCAAAGCAGGAGGCATGGGAAACCAAGGGAGGGCCTGCAGTAACCAAGACGTATGAACACATAGAAACAGAAAAAGTTCAGCGTAGGAACAGAGAAAGAACACATAGAAACAGGGAAAGTCAGGGCCGTTGCTGGGCAAAAACAATTCAGAGAATCAATCAGGTGACGACACAGATGGACATACAGATGGCTTGTTGCAAATACCAGTATATACCCCTGGACTGCAAGGCTTTACCGGGCAGACCACTATTGGGTCCCCCTCCTCTCGTGGGGAGTCTGAATCTGCTTGTAATAAATTTTCCTTAAATCTTCTGGTCCGTGTAGCTCATTCTTTGGCGTCGCAAGACATAACCCCGGGAAAAACACCTTGGATCACCGATCCAGTCATCATATCTACCAAAAAAAAAAAAAAAAAAAAAAATCCTAATCATATGCATATGCAAGCATAGACACTCATTATGTTTTAATTATGTCATAATATAATGCGAGACTACTATGTGGTGTGTTCTACAATTTCCTCTTTAAAAAAATAACTAAAGAGCTCTAGCCAGTTTGGCTCAGTCAATAGCCCGTGGTTCTGCCGACCAAAGGGTCCGAGTTCAAATCCAATCAAGGCCACATACTTTGGTTGCAGGCTTTTCCCCAACCTGGGCCCTTGACTGGGCTCATGGAGGAGGAAACAATGGTTTCTCTCACATCAATCTTTCTCTCTGTCTTTCACTCTCTCTTACACTTTCCCTAAAATTTAATAGAAAAAAATTATTGGGTAAGGATTAAAAAAGTAAATAATTAATAAGCATTTATTTGAGTCCAAAATGATGACCATTGCTGGGAAGCAAGATATCAAATGCTCCCTACAATTTGCTATTTACAAAAAATATATCTACCGGTTTTGTTTTTGTGTTTCACACTCACATGCAGGTATATTTCATGCATTGCTTGAAACCCACTCCTTAGATGCGCTTGTGATGTTGATGGTGTGTTCTCTGGTCGCTACCTCCTCGGTGGCAGAAAGGCCCTTCTTCTCTCCACCTTCTTTGCGGGAGCCACTATGCCAGGCCCAAGTGGAAAGGAAGCAAAGATTTTACCTTTGAAATCAATACAAATATATTAAAATAATAATAAAGGTAAAATCTTTGCTTCCTTTCCACTTGGGCCTGACATAGTGGCTCCCGCAAAGAAGGTGGAGAGAAGACATTCAGAATGTCTATCTCCCTCTTATTCAGTTTGGCGTCTCTGAATAAGAGGGAGATAGAAACATCCATGAGACAGAATCATTGATCAGCTGCCTCCTGCACGACCCCTACTGGTGATTGGGCCTGCAACCAGGGTATGTGCCCTTGACCTGAATCAAACCTGGATCCCTTCATTCCGCAGGCTGATGCTCTATCCGCTAAGTTAGGGCAAGATTTTACTTTTCATTTTAGTTTGCTCCTCAGCCAAATGGGATTAAAGGGTGTTGAAGTATTCAAGGGAGGATTATAAAGGTACAAATTAGATTATGCATGTTAACAAGGTTAGTCCCTCCTAGCTTTCAGGAATAAGAGGAGATCCCATCAACCAGACTTCTAAAGATCCTCCTATTACCACCCTTGCCCACAAGTCCCACCTGCAGGGAGGAGCTTTGTTGGGTGAGGTCTTAAAGAGATTCACCCTCCTAGTGGTATATATAGGCCAGGCTCACATTACTAAGCATTTACCGGGTAGGAGACTAGCTTCAGAGACTCTTCTTGGAGACACACTTCAGGGACTCACTCAAAGGAGCAGGCCCCAGGTAAGCTGGGAGTGGGGATGATACTGGTACAGGAGGTGGGACCAAACTGAGTCACCCTTGGCTTTCTGGGTGGCTACTCTAGCAGGGCCTTGACTTTACCTCACAAGCCAATCATCACTTGGATTCAGGTTATTTTAAGACACATGCTTTTATTATTTCTGGTGTCCCTCAGTTAGCCTTGCCCTAGGTCATCTAAATGCTTGCTAAATATACAGATACTAGGATCCAAATCTGACCTATGGGGTTACGAATATTTGCATATGCAAAGTGCCCCAAAGTGCTGGTCTGAAGCTGCCTGTGCGAATCCTCTTCCAGAATGTCTCAGTGTCTGGTGTCAAATTCAATTGTTAAAACCAGAGGTTCCAAGAGGTTTACCTAAATAGCTGTGTATGCTGACACCAAACTGAAAAAGAAGCTGAGTGTTATTTTCCTTTTTCCATGTGTCTCTGAATAAACAAGAATCAAAAAACCCATCCCCCGGCCCTAGCTGGTTTGGTCCAGTGGTTAGCGTGTCGGTCTGCGGACAGAAGGGTCCCAAGTTTGATTCAGGCCAGGAGCACATGTCCAGGTTGTGGGCTCAATCCCCAGTAGAGGGCGTGCAGGAGGCAACCAACCAATGATTATCTCTCATCATTGATGTTTCCATCTCTCTCTCCCTTTCCCTTCCTCTCTGAAATTAATAAAAATAAATTTTAAAAGAAGAAAGAAAGTCATAGTCCAGCAGTGAAGCAATCACATGCTCGAACTTCCGGGCCAATTAGAAGTATTATGAACACTTGCATTGGTCCACCTCATTTATCACAAGCCTCAAAATGCACAGTCCTGAAAAGGGTGGCCTCCCTGTGCACACATGTAATATTTCAAAAGGAGAGGGCGATATGAAGGAGGCCAAGGCTTGATCACCAAAACTCAGCACAATGAAAACCAACAATAATGAATAATAGGCACTAGAATTCAAATTACCACAGGTTTTAAAGAGATGAGGGTGTCACTTTTCAATTCCATTTTGAACACCACATTACAAAAGAATTATTTTTAACAATAAAAAAGGATTGAAGAGAAAGAAAAAAAAAGAGATATCTAAACCATTGAATGACGCGCTGTTGTTCCTGATAAACTTCACTCACATCCTCCTCCATTCCCAGTTCTCTTGGAGTGTGATTATCAGCATTTCTCTGACCCTCCAAGAGAAACCTGAGCCAGTTCATTGGAACTCCCCGTCTTAGCATGATTCTTTGGGTTTCTTGAGATGTGTTGTCATTTTCACTTTGAAGTGAAACTCACTGCTGCCCTGTTCAATGACTTTGTATTCTCCTTCCTTCTTATTCCCCAAATCTTCAGTTGATGGTTTTACCTCCTGGTCAGACATGGTGATGGTGCTTTACCTGAGGTCTCCACACAGAAGCAGCCTTAGGTAGGCAGGACCTCGCTCCTGGATTTACATATCCTTCTGTCTTCCCCACAGCACATGATTCCTTTTTTTAAAAAATAAATCATTATTGTTGAAAGTATTACATATGTCACCTTTTTTCCCCATTGCCCTTTCCACCCTCCTCCCCTTCAAGCCTTCAACACTCACTGTCAGTGTCTATGGGTTATGTATATATACATATGAGTTCACTGGTTGATCTCTTTCCCCCCTCTCCTGCCTTCTCACATTGAGGCCTATGATCAATTTGCCTAGATTGATTAATTCCTTTTAAGTTGCAAAATAGACTTTACTTCTAACTCCTCCTTAAGTATTGTCATGATAAATGATTTGGACTACCTGACCTAGGAATTGGGTGGTGCTTGGATTTTGACCAGAGTCACAGCTGATCTTCACTTGGGGAACCTGGCATTAACTAAAGGAGAAGGTGACAGAGAGACTAGACATCAGCTGCCCACTGGAACTCTTCTTGGAAGCTCCTACTGACTTCCACAGAGAGGGAGGCCTGAGCAGACCTCAGCTTCTCACTTCTCCTCGCTCCTGGAGGATCACACTGACTGAAGGGAGTCTCTTCTGATAGACACCTTCACTGCACCATGGCCTTTGCAGCTTCCCTGGCCAAGCTCCAAGCAGAGGCCAGCTGTCCCATCTGCCTGGATTACCTGAGAGACCCAGTGACCACTGAGTGTGGGCACAACTTCTGTTCCTCCTGCATCCACCAGCGCTGGGAAGGTCTACAGGACACCTTTCCCTGTCCTGTCTGCCTCCACCACTGCCCTGACAGGAGCTTGGAGAGGAACACCCAATTATGTCACATGACTGAGATTGTTCAGCAGATCCCCACCTCAGGGAGCCAGAGGAAAATGCAGGAAGAAATACCCCTGTGTGCGAAGCACAATGAGGTTCTTCAGCGGGGGATGTTCAAAAGGTATATGGCAGCCCTCACTAGTCACTTCGAAAATGTTGAAAAGGCATATAACAGCCAAGTTGCAAATACTTGTAAAGTGAAGGAAAAGATGGGAAAATGGAGGGAGGAATTTGACTATGAATGCAAAGTACTTAACTCTTTCTTGGAAATAGAGTTCGATGAAATTGATAACCATCTGCTTAGAGAAGAGAATGATGTTGCAGAAAAACTAATTGAAAATGGAAAGCAAATTTCATACCATATGTTCAGGCTAAACATTCTGTTAAGTAAAATAGAAGAGAAGTGTTTGCAGACAGATGAGGATTTACTCACAGGTATTGAAAGGATCCACAACGGGTATGGAAACCTAGAGACCCCAGCAGTGTTTTCATGTGAATTACCAAAGGAGATTTTCACTCTCCCCCCACATTACTTGGGCCTGCATAAAATGATGGGCACCTTTCAGGTAGAGTTGACACTGGATCCTGAAACTGCCCATCCAGAACTCATTATGTCAAGTGATAGAAAAAGTGTGTCCTATAGGAGACCAGATGGTCTTCCTAATCCCCAGGCACTTACTTCTTCCCCAGCTGTCCTGAGTTCTGAGGGATTTGATGCTGGCAGGCATTTTTGGGTGGTAAACATAGGAGGCACAGGTTTATATTACTTAGGTGTGTGTAAAGCATCTTTCCCCAGAAATACTTTCATATCACCATCAGCAAGCAACGGATGCTGGCAACATCAGCTCTGGAATCGTAGTGGACAACAGAAAATTGGCGTTTTTCTGGACTATGAGTTAGGAGAGGTTTCATTTTATAATTTGAATAACTGGACATACATGTTTAGAATCGCTGATACATTTACAGAAAAAATTATTCCTTATTTCTCCATTGCATCTTCTTCAGAATCTCTTTCAATCAGTATCAGCAGAGTCTACGATGACAATTTGTATGAAATTTTGTATGTGCTTATTTCCTCCCATGTTATTTAAATGAAAACGTAATAAAGATCCTGATTCCAGCTTTGATGTTTGAATATTAAACACTTTTAGGAAGCATTCTTCTCTCCTTCCTGACCTTACACATCTGGGAATGCCTATGAGAAAGTCCAGGTGCTCCATCCTTGGGTGCAGAGGGGAAGTTTCAATCAAGCAAGTTTCCATTAGTGTCAACAGTCTCCCACCAAAAGCACACAGTAACTACCATCAACACAAGCTAAGTCACTTTTCTCTGTGCTCTCTGTCATTTTGTTTCCTATTCTAATATGTACCCTACTCTCTCCCTAAAACCTCATGATATGAGTAATAAACTTTTTCATACTCTTCTGGTATGTGGTGAATCATCAGGGAACATTTGAAACCAATTTTGGGTTTCTTCCACCTTGACCATGGAAACTGGTCACCACCATTGACATTGTCAGCAGGATTTTCCAGATAGGAAGCCCCCCCTCTCCCCCACGACTTCCTCCTCCAGCTTTGTGTGGTAACACACCCTGGTTCTCTAGGCAAGGGTGTCCTTGCAGTTTGTGCTGCATTTGCTGAGTTCTATGGAGGCTGTGTAGATTTCACTGATCTAAGTCAGGAATTAGGTAAACACATTCTAGCCCAGCCTGCCTTGCTCAGTGGTTGAGCATCAACATATAAACCAGGAGTCATGGTTCAAGTCATCAAAGCACATGCCCTGGTTGCTGGCTCAATTCCCAGTAGGGCGTATGCAGGAGGCAGCCAATGGATGATTCTCTCTCAACATAGATGTTTCTCTTTCCCGATTCCTTTCTGAAATCAATAAAAATATCATTAAAAGAAGCACATATTTATTTTTTATTTTCCATATAATTTGGGGGCATTTTAATTGTCTTATCTATCTACAGATAGATAAGGCTAATATGCAAATTGTCCCCACGGGAGTTTGACCAGGAGTTCGATCACTCGTTATCACATGCACTGATTACCGGGAGGCGGCTGGGAATGAAGGAAGGCCCCGGGGGGCAGCCAGCAGCCAGGGAAGGGATTCCCTGGCCAGCAGCTTGAAGGATGGCCCCAGAAGGCCTCAATCAGCCAATATTGCTGGCCAGGGCCTAGGGACCCTACCGTGCACAAATTCTGTGCACCAGACCTCTAGTGTTTTATAAAATTTTCATGAACAGGGCTGAGCAAAAGCAAGTTGATAGTAGTGATACAAATATGTACAGCAATTAATAACAAACAACACAAAAATAAACTTGCATATTAACCACTGTAAACATGCTTTTGTTTTAAATCCTCACCTGGTGATAAATTTATTGATTTATAGAGAGAGGAAGGGAGAGAGAGAGGGGAAAAGGCCAATCAGTTGCTTCCTATACTTGCTCAGACTGGGGATTGCACCTGATACCCAAGTGCCCTGAATGGGAATCAAGTCTGCTAGTTTTTTGGTGTAGGAGACCACATTCCAACAAACTGAGCCACCCGGCCAGGGCTGCAAACCTGCCTTTGACAACCACTGTATGACCTCCAAAGGTCACAGTCATTTTTGACATTATGTGAAATTGCCAACCTTTGAGAACATGCTTCTGTTTGTATGCCTTATATGTGTATTGTTTATAATATTTGGAAATAAAGTTTTACTCTGCATCTCTCTGTACTGTTCATCTATCTCCGTATCTTGAAAAGATGCTCAGCAGAGCTTTCATTGAGGTATAAGGGACCACTGCACTGACCAGAGTAGCCCTGCTATGCTGTGGTGATCTCAAGTGCTTACTCCTGTAAAGTGCAATGTAGGCCAGCAGGCACTGCTCCATTACCCACCCAAGGATCTAACTCCCCCAGTCACTACAACTAGAGAAAGAGGAAGCATTGAAGGACAACACCAGAAAGAGACATACACTTTCCTCTCATTCCATTTTCTAAAGTAGCCCTAGATAGTTTCGTTCAATGGATATAGAGCGTCAGCCTATGGACTGAAGGGTCCGGAATTCTATTTGGTTAAAGGCACATGCCTGGATTGTGGGTTCAATCCCCCATAGGGGGCGTGCCGGAGGCAGCTGATCAACTACTCTCTCTCATCATTGATGTTTCTATCTCTCCCTCTATTTCCTCTCTGAAATCAATAAAAAAATATTTTTAAATAAATAAAAGTCATTGCAAGGCCCTACTTCTCTGCAAGGGGTGAAGAAGAATGCATGTATCGTGAGGTGAAAAGCTACTGTTTACCATAATTCCTGAATGCAATTAGACATTAATGTACATTCATGATGAGTGGGAGATGAAAAGTCACTAAAACTTATAAATAGATTAACATAGACATTTACATTAGTTTGACTTAATCCTATAACAGTTGTTGATAATTTCTCCCAATAAAGAAGACATTTTTTTAAAAAAAAGACATTTAGGACAAAAATCGTGCACCTATGAATGA